ATAAGTATTTGATTTAAGGTTTTTAAGTCTTTGAAGCGCATTGGTAAACCAAGGAGGCCTGTTTAGGTTTAAAGGAAACCTATCAGGAACGCATTCATTAAAAAAAGTATTTAACGCTATATAGAATAGTTCAGTGGCACTTTCAATGTCTGTACAATTGTACAAGTCTGTCCAATTATAATGAGAAATCATATCGTTAAGTTTATTATAGTCACATTTACGAAAACATCTCATTTTAGTTGGGGGCACTAAAGGAGAGAGAGTATCAGAGCAGGGGAGGCAAATTGTCAATTCCATTGTTGGATGATATCGGTCTTCAGGTACAACAAGAGCGTCAATTCTACTGAAACAAACACAAGATCTAATTGTCTATTTAAAGAATTTCGTATAAAGCTTACTTGCTGTAACGATAATTCTAAAAGGCCATCTACAAAATCATGGGCTGATAAAGACGGATAGATAGGCGGACAGATGGTGCTCATAAATTACTAGATCAGAGCCAGGTGGAATATAGGAACATGTAACAAAAATAGATAAAGATTGCAAATAAACTTTCACACTTACAAGTTCAATTTCGTTTGGGATATGAGTGAGAATTCTTTCGGATGTTAGGCTAGAGGTAACAGCAATCAGTACACCGCCCCCCCTACGTGAGGAGCGATCGGTCCTATAAGTATTAAAGTTATTTGACAGAACTTCAGAGTCAGATATCTCTGGTTTTAGCCAAGTTTCCGTAAAAGCCAAAATATTTTCGGTGAATGCAGAGGAGTCGGCATAAAGCTTGTGTAGCTTCATATTTAGTCCCCTAACATTTTGATACGCCAAGAATAAACTATTTAGTTTTTTGGCACAGTGGAAGGCCTGTTATTTGTTCTCGGTTTATTAGGAACAAATTCTTTAATTACTAAATCATCATTAAGCCAAAAACTTTCAGAAAGTAACACATTAAACACATCAGGCGGAGCAAATATTTTAAAAGACGATATCCTACGAGTGTAAGAAAATCTAAATTTTTCAACTGCAATATCCTCGGATGGGAATTTTTCACGTATAAATTCCAAAACATCCTCAGATGTGGTATCTGGGGTGAATCTAGAAACAAATAATTGCTTCCTTTGTGGAACAACTGAAAGTTTCTTACGGCCCCCACCAGCAGTCTGAACCACACTGGGCTGAGAACCAGGAACGGTGTCTACTGTACCTGTAGGTACGGTCGGCAACGAATTCTTTGACTTAGCCAGTACTGTAGCTTTTATTCTGGAAACAGAGGTACCACCCGAACTAGCTGTATCCATAGGCACAGTTGGTTCATTTACCCCTGTGTCAACAGAAACTGCTGCTACCAAGTTCGGATTTGGGGTGGATTCCACAATCGTATTAACAGCGGTTAAACTGGTATTTTTGCGTTAAGGCGGTTAATAATATTTTATTATTAAACTGGGCACAGACGGAATTGAACCCCTCATTGAGTTGTTTAAAAGCTCCTGAGATATTCAATAAGCTGTCTCGAGTCTGCCTCATAAAGCCACTCATCTCAACAACCATTTCCTTGCAGGACCCACATGACCACATGAGACCAGAATTAAGATCAATGAAATCTTTGACTCTGCCAGTAAATCCTGCACATTTAACGTGCATCATCGAATCGCAGAGCCAGCAAAAAATAAAAGGGTCTTTAGTTGAAGACGCAAGAGTACAATTTTTCTTAGAACAGACAAGAGCCATTGTAAGTTTAAAGCAAAATAAAAAAAAAAGAATATGAAAAATACCTCAAAGTAAAATTTGGCACTGGGATCAAATCAAATTGTCAAAAACCACAAAACACGAAAAAAGTAAGAGCGCGAGATCACGAAATTAAGTCGAATAAAGAGAGCACGAGAGAATAAATCTTATATCGACTGAGCGTGGCTTGTGCAACACAACAACTTTAATCAATAAACAAGAAAGGCAAGCTAACTTCGGGCGGAGCCGAAGTTGATATACCCTTGCAGAATACTCTGTAAATTATATTCTCCAAAATTATTCATATGATGCATTCTTAATACTCATAAAAAATCCCAACATCCTAACCTTAAAAACACCAAAGTTATAGCATTTCCAATCGTTTAGTTATATGGCAGCTATAAGATATAGTCGGCCGATCCTTATGAACTTTGGTAGGTCGGATTGATTGGCCAAAAATAAAACCCATAGAAAATCCCAACTTCCTAACTTAACAAACACCAAAGTTATGGCATTTCCGATCAATCTGTTATATGGCAGCTATAAGATATAGTCGGCCGATCCTTATGAAATTTGGTAGGTCGGATTGATTGGCCAAATATAAAGCCCATAGAAAATTCCAACTTCCTAACTTTACAAACACCAAACTTATGGCATTTTAGATCAATCAGTTATATGGCGGCTATAGGATATAGTCGGCCGATCCTTATGAAATTTGGTAGGTCGGATTGATTGACCAAATATAAAACCGATAGAAAATCCCAACTTCCTAACTTTACAAACATCAAAGTTATGGCATTTCCGATCAATCAGTTATATGGCAGCTATAAGATATAGTCGGCCGATCCTTATGAAATTTGGTAGGTCGGATTGATTGGCCAAATATAAAGCCCATAGAAAATTTCAACTTCCTAACTTTACAAACACCAAACTTATGGCATTTCCGATCAATCAGTTATATGGCAGCTATAGGATATAGTCGGCCGATCCCGGCCGTTCCGACTTATATACTGCGTGCAAAGGAAAGAAGGCTGTGTGCAAAGTTTCAACTCGATAGCTTTAAAACTGAGAGACTAGTTTGCGTAGAAACAGACAGACGGACATGGCTATATCAACTCAGGAGGTGATCCTGATCAAGAATATATATACTTTATAGGGTCGGAGATGTCTCCTTCACTGCGTTGCACACTTTTGACCAAAATTATAATACCCTCTGCAAGGGTATAACAAATGCAATGTAAAGCATGCAAGAGAGAGAGAGAGAGAGAGAGTTAGAGAAATAAACGAACAAGTCTACCAGAATTTCATAGAGAGTAAATTACAGTTATAAAATAGAGCGGGAGAGATTGAGAGGGAGTAAAAGAGTTCTAGCAAGTATAGAGAGCGTAAATTACACTAACAAAGCTGCGAGATTAAACAAATCTAATAGAAATGTTAAAACAATTCTAAACACATACCCGTTTACTGGGAGATCTATTTAAAATTTCTAACACAGATATGTATTAAGTTAAGCTTTGTAAATAAATTAACACAAAACACTCGCACAAAATCACTGAAAAAATTCAAAAACTCAGAACACAAAGGTAAACACAACTGTTCACAAGCGACGCTAAATCGAATGAATCTTAAAATGCTTCAATAATAGGGTATACTTGCAGTTTTTACAGGAGTGTGTTACCATTATTTATAAAAACCATATCCTATTTTTCACAACACTAATCAACTAGCTCGAACGAAATTATAACATAAGGTAAATTTGTCAAAGAAAAAATAAAAAAACTTTATTTATATTAAAATTGAAAATTTAAATTGAAAACTGAATTTAAAATTAAAAACTGACGAAAATTTAGCAAGTCTTTAAAAAGACCCTAAACAAAATTCACAAGGCAAAACAAAATGAACAAAAAAATTCAAATATTAGGTCAACTTTAAAGTTACTTTAAAAAAGAGTCGAGACTTTAAAATTTTGCAAGTCTTTAAAAAACTCTAAACAAAATTCACAAGGCAAAACAAAATGAACAAAAAGACACACACATTTTTTAAAAAATTCGAATATTAGGTCAACTTTAAAGTTACTTAAAAAAGAATCAAGACTTTTAAATTTTGCAAGTCTTTAAAAAACTCTAAACAAAATTCACAAGGCAAAACAAAATGAACAAAAAGACACAAATTGTTTAAAAAATTCGAATATTAGGTCAACTTTATAGTTACTTTAAAAAAGAATCAAGACTTTAAAATTTTGCAAGTCTTTAAAAAGACTCTAAACAAAATTCACAAGATTATTTTAGAATTTCGTGCTTTGCCACTTCACTTTAATTAACTTTTTTGACAAACGGCTGTGTTCGCTCATGCCGCAGCCTAAATAAATTCTTAAAGTTTCTAATCTTAACGTAAATTGAATTCTCGATGTTTGTTTTTGCATTTTCTATTTGCCCTGCGTGGCATCTCTTTCAATTACTGTAATTGCTACTCCTTTTGAATTCTTTCGCCGATCGCTGCCTGGCCCTTTGTCCACGGCAAGCATCTACTTAAGTTCAGTTTCGATTTTGTACTCGCTCGCTGAAGGCACGGTCGCAGATCGCCTGCCCATTCTCTTCGTTTATACTTTCGCTGTTAAAAGGCACAGACAAATCGGTCTGCCTGCCCAACCAAATAATCTTAAACATAAACATTAAACTTTGTAATTAAGGCCTTGGTGTCATTTTTGTTTTGTTTTAATTGGGCACCATCAAAGGTAAGCGTTAGTGAAAAAGCTCACTAATCAACATTTTGGTGACCCCGACGTGATTTAAAAACAATAAAAACTAAAGTACAACCAAACAAAGAATTTAATTTTCGTTCGTTTGATTGATCGCGCATATACATAACCTGCAAGTTCTATGTACAAATGCTAGCGCAAGCGGTAATACATAAACACCGCTAGAAACTCACATCGCACCCGCCCCGCGCATCATAGAGAACATTTTGGTTTCCTCTTTGTGCCTTCGTTCCCGCTTTGAAACGTTTTACAGCGGCGACCAAACGTTTTTGTTTTGTTTTGTTTGTTGCACCCCCTTCCACCGCTATATTGCCGTTTATGTGCAAATAGACGCACATACATTCCGTTAGTTTTCGGTGGTCAAGAGTTTTGGTACAGCACGCCCTGCACAGTGGAATTTAATTATTTTACGGGTGATAAAAGCTGAAAATAATAAAATAAATTTATTAAAATGTCAACCGAAACAACTTTATCTGCTTCAGTTCAGGGAGTGAAGCATCTTAAATTGAAGGCTGAATCAATGCTTTCTAAGGCGAAATCCTCTGAGAAGGCCTTGACTGTTGAGAAGCTCCAGGCGATGAGTGAGGAAGAATTGGAGCTTCGTCTTAAGCTCTCAGAGGAGAATAAGGCTGCATTTGCCCAGGTCCATGACAGATTTTTAAGAGCTCATCATATCAATACAAATCATGCTAAATCGAGAATTGGGTAAGCGTCAACGTCCAGCACTTCGAAGTTCGACGCTCAGGCCAGAGCCATCTCTGGATTTCCATTCTGTGCCGGCTAAAAGATCTCATTTGCTTGAATTGAGATTGCCTGAATTTTCTGGTGGCTATACTGAATTTGTCGACTTTCAATCCATGTTCAAAGCTATCATCGACAATGACGTGGAGCTCACTAACATTGAGAAGCTGCAGCATTTAAAGTCTAGCCTGAAGGGTTGCGCCTTGGATACAGTGCGCTCATTAGAAATTTGTGACAGCAACTATGCTGTAGCCTTGGAGTTATTGAATATCCGTTTCAATAATAAGCGTCTAATTTTCCAATCCCATATAACTGCAATTTTGGGTCTCCCTAAAGTGGAAATGCGGTCCGCAGCGAAGCTGAGAGATATATCTGATAAAATAAATGCCAATCTACGTGCTCTTCAGTCAATGGGCTCGGTTGAGCAAATCTCAAATTGCATTCTGGTTCATGTTTTACTCCAAAAATTAGATAGCAAAACTCAGGCCAATTGGGAAGAATCTGCGGCTATTGATGAAATTCCTTCGATTGATCAATTTACTACATTTTTGTCCAAGCGTTGTCAAGAATTGGAAAATGTAGAGCATACTGTAGCATCGTACTCATATAGTTCACAATCAGGAAGAAGCTGCAACAAAAGCATTTTAATTGCCACTAACACTTTAGGAAATGGATGTGTTGTGTGCGGCAACAGTGGCCAATTAATTTATAGCTGTGGTCAATTCGCCAATTTGTCAGTGCGATTCGTATTCGAAAGGTGAAGGAATTAGCGCTCTGTCTTAATTGCTAAAAGAAGGGCCATCAAATGCGCAATTGTAAGTCAGGCTGCTGTAGAACTTGCAGGTCCAAGCATCACACCCTTTTGCACCTTGGCACTCAGTCGTCGACCCAGGTTATGCGAGCTCCAGCTGCAGAACAAAGTACGTCAATTGCAATTAATTCAAGCCCTTCTACCTCTTTGCTGGCTCAGAATTTGGATTCTGACATTGTCTTTCTTGCAACTGCTGTCATAAGCGTTCAAAGTCGATCAGGTGCTTGGATCCCATGCCGTGCGCTGCTAGACTCGGGATCTCAAGTCCACATTGTGACTTCCAGACTCGCTCACCAGTTGCAGTTGCATAAAACGAAGTCTACCGTTTCAGTTGCAGGTCTTGGAGATGCTCGATTTGACTCTGAAGGAGTTTCAGCTTGCGTCAAGTTAAAGTCGCACACTTCTGATTACTTCGCATGCCTATCTGCTCTTGTTGCTCCAGCGATTACCGGCAATCAACCCAGTTTGACCGTTAAACCCGATGGTTGGAAAATTCCCTCGAATATTCAGCTGGCCGATCCGGACTTCTATAGATCTCGGAGAAAAGATCTCCTTATTGGAGCAAGCATGTTCTTTGAGCTATTATCTGTAGGGCAGATTAAGTTGGCTGCTGGGTTATCCCTATTGCAGAAAACAAGGCTTGGTTGGATCGTTACAGGAGGTGGATCTTCTACTCTCAAGGCAACTGCATTACACGGCCAAGCTGTGCACCGTGAACTGGTTACTGCTGAAGTTCATATGGATGAATTAGTCCGTCGCTTTTGGGAAGTTGAGAGTTGTGGTGAAGGCGTGGTCACAGCCACCAAAGAAGAACTGGAGTGCGAAGCTCATTTCAAGACCAACTTTCGTCGTTTAGACTCTGGTGAATATTCCGTACGATTACCTGCGAAGAACACTCTAGAATTACTGGGTGAATCGTACAATCAAGCTTATTGTCGATTTCTCAATTTGGAGAGCAAGCTAGAGCGCAAGCCAGAAGTCAAGGTCCAATATTCGGCATTCATCCGTGAATATTTGCATTTGAAGCACATGTCGGTTGTGCCCATAAACTCCTTGAGTCTTTGCAAATATTTTCTGCCCCACCACTGCGTTTTCAAAGAAGACAGCACCACGACTAAATTGCGAGTCGTTTTTGATGGGTCTGCCAAAACGTCAAGTGGACATTCGCTGAACGAGGTTCTCATGGCAGGGTCTACCATTCAACAGAAGCTGTTCAACACGCTGTTACAGTTTCGGACTTTCCCAGTTGCATTGACTGGTGACATCTGCAAGATGTATCGGTGTGTTCGCGTGGCTGAACCCGATAGCTATCTTCAATGTATTCTTTGGCGTGACTCACCGGACCAGGTATTCAAGCTTGATACCGTGACCTATAGAACTAAGCCTGCAGCCTTTTTATCCGTTCGCGCGATGCATCAACTGGCGAATGATGAGAAGAGCACATTTCCAATCGGTTCTAAAATCATTTTGCGGGACTTTTACGTTGATGATCTGATCACAGGAGGCCAATCAACACAGGAAGTCCTCGAAATCATGTCTCAAACAACAAAATTGCTTGCACGAGGTGGCTTTAAGCTCAGGAAATGGTGTTCCAACGAGCGCGATGTCCTTGATAAAGTTCCTGACTCGGAAAACGAAACATTCCTGAAGTTTGACGACTTTACCAAGACACTGGGTCTTGCTTGGATCCTGCAGCGGATGTCTTTCGTTTCTCTTTTTCTCCCATACAGGTCTCTCCAAAGCCATGTAAACGGCTGGTGCTTTCCACAATTGCTCGCGTGTATGATCCGCTTGGTCTCATTGGTCCTGTAGTTGCCAATATTTTGCATCTATTTTTCTCAAAATCTCGTGTGGCACCTTTGAAGACTCTCACTGTTCCCAAATTAGAGTTGTGCGCTGCTTTCTTACTGGCTCAACTGATGCGGGACGTACGCAACATGAAGCTCTTCGATTGCCCTTTTTTTGCTGGTCAGATTCTGCTGTAGCTTTATCATGGATAAGCGATGAACCTTCACGTTTTCAAGTTTTTATTGCTAATCGAATATCTTTAATTCAAGAGCTATCCAGTGGCATGCATTGGCGCTATGTACCGACCGACTGCAATCCAGCCGACATCTTGTCAAGAGGTGCTTCCCCGAGCGAGCTTCTGGAATCTGCCCTTTGGTTCAGAGGCCTAGAATTTCTTCTTAAGGATCAGCGCGGTTGGCCCGAATCTTGTATGCCAGTGAAGACTTTTCCCGACCTCAGAAAGCGCATTGTGGTCGGCGTCGCTAAAGAAGTGGACCTATCTTCAAAATGCAAGTTCGTGAATTCTTGGCAAAAGATCACCCCCACTTTTGGATACGTATACAAATTTGTTCACCGCATAAGACGTCCTGGATGTAAAAATGGGCACTCAGATGCTTATCAGATGCATCCAAATGAGCAGCCTGGCTGATGACTACTGGAGGCTGCAGTCTAAGCGACAAATTACATCATCCAGCCCGTTGGCCTCACTTTCTCCATTCATCGATAGCTTTGGGCTGATGCGAGTTGGTGGCAGACTACAAAGTCCTTGGATTACAATGCGCAGCATCCTGTCACGAGTGCTATCATACTGGACCTGCATCGGAAAAACTTGCATTCTGGTCCGCGAACGCTGCTCGCTAGCATGCGTCTTCAATTTTGGCCGATAGGTGGCCGAAAAACAGTATCATCTGCAACGTCCAAGTGCGTCATATGCTTCCGAGCTAAACCACAATTATCTCAGCACTTAATGGCTGACCTACCTAAGGATCGTGTAGATGCAACATCAACGTTCATGGTTACTGGACTGGGTTTCTGCGGGCCATTTTGCTACAAAACCGGAGTTCGAAGCAAGGTGCCTGTGAAAACGTACGTCTGCGTTTTCATCTGTTTCGCGACGAAAGCGATCCACCTGGAGCTTGTTCAGGATCTTTCAACACAAGCGTTCTTGGGAGCATTGAAGCGGTTTATTCTCACCAGAGGCAAAGCTGCCCGGATATGGTCAGATAATGCTACGAACTTCGTTGGAGCTAAAAACGAACTGGCTGAGCTGAAAAATCTATTTCTGTCTGGCCCACACATTCGAGCTATAGAGGAATTCTGCCTAGAAGATTCAATTGAGTGGCGTTTTATTCCCCCACGTTCGCCTCACTTTGGAGGCCTCTGGGAGGCTGCAGTAAAAACGGCCAAATTTCATTTTTATACCTGTTACTCGTAGAGTAAAAGGGTATATTGTATTCGTGCAAAAGTATGTAACAGGTAGAAGGAAGCGTTTCCGACCCTATAAAGTATATATATTCTTGTTCAGGATCACTAGCCGAGTCGATCTAGCCATGTCCGTCTGTCCGTCTGTCTGTCTGTCTGTCCGTATGAACGCTGAGATCTCGGAAACTATAAAAGCTTGAAGATTGGCATTTTGCATGTAGATTTTAGGAGTTCCTACGCAGCGCAAGTTTGTTTCAAAATGGTGCCACGCCCCCTCTGACGCCCACAAGCCACAAGCTGTGGCCACAGTTTTGATGCTATTATGAAAATTTTAATTGATATGTATTTGTTTCGCCAATACCTATCGATTGGCCTAATAAAAGTTTGCCACGCCCACTCTAACGCCCAGAAACCTATTAAACGCTTAAGCCTGGCTAGGGCCTACATTTCCGCCCTTCAAGGCGCCATCTAACGGATGACTTTGGAACAGCTGGCCAAGGTGCTCAACAGAGTCAACGTTAATTCTCGATAAGGATTTCTATTAAAGGAAATTGCAATGGTTTTCATTTGTCAATACCGAACTATATCCCAAGAACTATGCAAATCAAATCAAGTTAGCCAAATTGGAGGTCTGAGTCAAACAATGGCGTATGTGTGTATGTATGTAAGCATATACATATGCAGGTATTTACATTGTACACAGTTGCAATTACCCGGCAAAGATAACTCCTTTCAAAGAAAGCTATTCGCTATACCCGTTACTCCTGTTGTGCAAACATTTAAACTTTAATATACATAATACTATTTAAGAATGTATGTCAATTTATTACAAGAAGGCATATTTATATTAAGTTGTTTAGCTGAGTAACGGGTATCTAATAGTCGAGGCACTCGACTATAGCGTTCTCTTTTGTTATCGTTCGGTTGGCCCATCTCTATTATCATTCGATGAATTGCGTACACTCGTTTGCCACATTGCAGCAATTATCAACTCACGACCTTTACTACCTCTTTCAGAGAATCCAGCAGACCTTGAGGTGCAAACTCCTGCACACTTTCTTGGCACAGTTCGGCTGGTGTTTTACTCTGAGCCTGACGTCACAAAGCTAAATTTAAATCTCTTGGACCGCTGGCAGAGAATTGCTTATTTTCAACAAATCTTCTGGTCACGGTGGCGTGAAGAGTATTTGACCCTGTTGCAGCAACGGTCAAAGTGGCGCATCCCCAAACCTGCGCTACAAGTCAACGATGTCGTGTAACGACCTGATTCTTTATTTCTGCTCGCTACGTAAACGTGCGGCTAGCTCAGAGAGGTTGTGAGTTCGTTCCACCAAATTTATATTGAGTGACCGCCCGTGACCAAAGGATAACGCCAGAAATGATTAGGTTGGTGCTGGTTTATTGACTCTCTAAAATATAGCCTTATTGCTATTATTCTGCTGCCCGTTGTCGCTGTCTCCTGCTGCGTTGCTCCTGGCTCGCTGCTCCTCTGCTCCCGGCGTGCTGCTGCGTCGCTCCTGGCTTACCGCTGTGTTGCTTCGGCTTGCTGCTCCGGGTGACTGAGATCGGTACGACTCCACCAAAACCCTGGATGTTATGCGAGCTTCCCTACCGGGGCCGGCAAGGTGTATCGCCTAGCAGGTGAACCGAAGTTACGCCTTATCGCCTAGCCACCTTTATCGCCTGGCTTCCGGAGTTCAGCCTGGACTTTGTCGGCAAGGTGTATCGCCTAGCAGGTAGAACAGAGTTCTCCCTTATCGCCTAGCCACCTTTATCGCCTGACACCGCGCAAGGACTCCCTAAGTTTGACTTTACCACGACCTAGCACCGTTGGATCTCAGCGTTGTAGCCTCAGCCTTGTAGACTTGTCGTCGTTCGGCGTCTCGACTTTGCGATCTTGATCCTTGGGCACTTCGGTTTCGATGTTTACTTATTCCGCGTTCACGCACTCGCTCTGATTCTCGCACTCGTACTGTGCCGAGCTGCGCTTGCGCCGTCCTTTTTATAGGCGCTGTATGTGCCGTTATTTCCCTCGGGTCCAAGGTCCACTGAGGTACCGTTAATTCCGCCAATTTACCGTATGACCCCGTTGCCCTTGCCGGGCGCGGGTCCAAGGTCCATCGAGGTACCGTTAATTCACGGTGTGTCCTCTTTAGGCGGGTCTAAAGTCCGCCAATTCATCGTATGACCTCGTTGCCCTTGCCATATGAGGGTCCAAGGTCCGAATGTTTCCCGTTTGACCTGGATGCCCTTTATTTCTCCGGCTTTCTCGCCTCCTTCGCTGTTGCTAGGCCGATCTCCTGCATCGGGATTTGTGGGGAGTTTATGACTCCTCACATTTCCCCCTTAATTCGGAAACGTAATGAAAGTGGTGACTTTCCCCGCCCTTTATGTTTAGACTACTCGAATTCCCCGCCTGACTTGTGTGTTAGATGTTCCCCAGACAGTTCCCCGACAGACCTTTAACCTTTCCCCAGACTGTTCTCCTAAAAGACTTCACCCGTACAGCTTCTTGAAATACTTGAACTTTCCCGCGACTGTTTCCCTAAAAGACTTTTCCATGCAGCTCCTTGAAAGATTATTTCCCCAGACTGTTTCCCCGTTCCCCAGACAGTTCCCCGTTCTCCAGACAGTTCCCAGTTCCCCAGATAGTTCCCAGTTCCCATTTCCCAGACAGTTCCCAGTTCCCAAGACAGTTCCCAGTTCCCCTGCGTGGAATTCGAATTTTCCCGCCCAGACATTTCCCCAAACTAAAAGTCACCATTTCGCTTTCCCTCGGTCCGGCAACTCCCTGGAATCTCACCACGATCGCGTTTATCGATTGTGGGTTCCAGTGTTGCCATCGTCGTTGCCTTTTCGTTGTCTTAAGTTGCCATTTGAATTCTTGAACATAGAAATAACCAATTTTGTTAACCCATCGATCGCAACTATCGATCGACCGCCTATCTCGGCGCCCCCGTCCCTATTTTCAATGTCCGGCAACCCGTTACCCCAAAATGTAAATAAACAAATCACTTTGCGTGTTACAACCATAAAAGGCCTTTTATTGGGCCCTCAAGACCCTTACTACTCCGCTTGCCACCCGGATGCGGTAGCGGACACCGTCTACAACCAAGAGTTTGGCCCAGCGGCTGTTACGGGCTCTCTCCCGCTGTCTACTGGCCTCGGCTGCCACCCTGGACGGCCACTCTTCCTCGGCCATCTCCTGCCAGGGGCTGCTGTCCGCCGAATGCTGGCGGCTCACTGTCGGCCTGGCGGGTGGGGACCGCGGCTCCGGGCACGATGTCAGCCTGGCGATTTTGGGCGGCCGCGCGGCTGGCCCTCCTGATGCTGGCCACACCCAGGGCCCCTTCTCCCAGCACTCCGGCTCCCCACCGAGCCGTTTTGCTGGCGACGGCGACGGCGTTGGCACCCACGGCGGCGGTGGAGGCGGCGGTGTCTCCGCTCCGTGCCGTGGTGCCTGGAATGGCCGTGGTGCCTGCGGCGGTGACGGTGGTGGCGGTAGCGGTGTTGCAGCCCGAGGCGGCGACGGTGGTGGCGGTGGTGGTGCTGCGGCCCGAGGCGGCGACGGTGGTGGCGGTGGTGGTGCTGCGGCCCGAGGCGGCGACGGTGGTGGGGCGGTCTGCGGCCCGAGGAGGACGGTGGTGGCGGTGGGGGTGCGGCCGAGGCGGCGACGGTGGTGGCGGTGGGTGCTGTCCCGGGGCGCGACGGCGGTGGTGGCGGTTGCGACAGCGATGGCGAAGGCGGTGGAGGCGCTTGCAGCGGCGGCTGTTCCGGAGGGCCTGGCCGTGCCCAGATTTCTGCCTCTTCAGCCTCAGCCTCATCCAGCCGCTTCTGCCACTCCCTGGCTGCTGCGGCTGCCCGTGCCACCGCCCGCTGCGCGAACACTCGCCGCACCACTTCTGCCCGGGTTGCGAGTATACGCATTGCCTCCTCCGGGCGGCCTGATGGCGCTGCGTCGCCCAACCGGATCCGCCCGAATCCGGCTGCGGCCCTTCTTATGCGGCGGAATGCCATCCGGGCCTTTGCCGCCCGACGGGGCTCGTCCTCCTCGTCCGAGGAGACCTCCGGACTCACCGTCTCCGTCCCGGTGTCCTCCTGGGCTTCCTCCTCCTCCTCCTCGGACGAGGACAGGCTGATGGTCGGCACCTCAGCCTCCTGCCCTGCCGACCGTACGCCGGCCTCCTCCTCCTCCTCCAGCTCCACGTCGGTGATCCGACCTTCGTCCTCCGTTTCTGGGTTCGGCGACGGGGACCGCGACACCAGGGGGGACGCCAGCAGCTGGAGTGCGGAACCTGAGTCCCGCCTCCATCTCGCCACTGGCTGTTGCCCGGTGCTGCCTCCCCGCCCCTCTCCCCTCATGATTTGGCTGTTGCTGCTGCTGCGTGCTGGCATCTTGGCGACCTGATTTGAATAGGCCCGTCTTGTGGCGCTCGCGCGCTGACGAAACCTCGGTTGCCCATGTCTCCGGTTCCGTTATCCGCGGCGGCCTTTGGACTTTCCCTTGCTACGGGCTCCGACGGGTCCCTGCTTTGGTATGCGTTACCCGGTAACGGTATCCGCATCCTAAGCCCCTCCCTCTCCCGCTCTCGCGCTCCTATTGCATCTGTGTGAGTTCGATACTGTGTATCGTCCTCTCCCTCTCTTCGGAGTCACAGTGCGCCCTTGCTAAGTCCGACTCCGATCCTTTGTTTTGGCCATCAATTACTTGTTTTTTTAATTGGCTAATGTGGGCGGTTTTTTCTTTGCCAGAATTTTCGTGCCGCAACTTGCATATCACTGGCGAATTAAAATTTATTATCTTAAACGGCCCATCGTACTTTGGTGCCAATTTTGCGGCGAATCCTTCTGCAGCCTTGGACAGATGGTGTTCCTTAGCCCAGACTGTGTCCCCGATGTTTGGCTTCCATGGGCGTCTACGGAGATTGTAATGGCGTGCCTGATCCTGCGCTGCCTTTTCCATATTTCTCCTCACCAGCTCGAAGATTTCTTTTAGCTTCTTGGCGTTCTCGGCCGGAGTTTGCGTTTCCCTTCCTGTGCCGATTGTTCCTTCATCGTACAGTGCGCTGGGTAACCTAGGCTCTCTCCCTTGCGTAATAAAAGCCGGCGAATATCCTGTGGATTCGGCCACGCTCGTATTCACGGCCAACTGCAGTTCCGGCCACTTTTCGTCCCAAGTCCTCTGGTCTGCCCCTGTGAACTGGGCGATCATAGTTTTCACCGTCCTGTTGGCTCTCTCCGTCGGGTTTTCCTGGGGCGTGTACGGGGCCGTGAACTGGTGTCGGACGCCTAATTCACCCAGGAACTTTTTAAACGCCCTGCTGGTGAACTGAACGCCATTGTCTGTAATCAGTACCTTGGGCACGCCGTATCTTGCGAGGATCCGCTCGCGGATCGCCTTTTCCAGAGTTTCCGTCGTTGCCCTGCGCATTGGCACCATTTCGGTCCACTTGGAGAACCTATCTACCAGCACTAGCAGCATAGAATTCCCGTGTTTGGAGCGGGGCAGTGGTCCGACGAAATCTGCGCACACAGTGGCCCACGGCTCTTCCGGAACTTGGGTCAGCATTTTTCCGGCCGCCTGTAGTTGGCTTGGCTTGTATCGTAGGCAGCTGTCGCAGTTTTGCACATATTTCCTTATGTCGCGGTGCATTCCCGGCCAATGATATCTTGCGGCGACTCTGGCAATTGTTTTCCGACTGCCCATGTGGCCGGCTGTCGGTGAGTTGTGGTTCTCCGACATTACCCGCCGCCTGGACCCCGTTGGCACGCATAGCTTCCAAGACGTGACGTCCTCGTTGCCTGCTCTGTGTGGTATGTGGCGATATAGCTGGTCGGCTTCTGTCATGTAGTCTGGATATTTTTGGGGATTTTGGGAAATCTTGCTCCGCATATCCCTTATCCAGTTACACTCGCCGGTTTCCTTGTGCTGTTCCTGTGTTTTTACCCGTCGACACGTTTCTGGCAGTGGCTGTCGTGATAGTGCGTCTGCGACTATATTCAGCTGGCCCTTTCTGTACGCGATCTCGAAGTCATATTGCTGCAGTTCCAGCGCCCATCGTGCGATTCTTCCGGTTGGGCTCTCGATGCTATTCAACCACTTCAGTGCCATATGATCCGTGATCACTTTGAAGTGGTAGCCCTCCAAGTATGGCCTTAACTTGCGTATGGCCCACACAATTGCCAGGCATTCCTTCTCAGTCGCTGAGAAATTTCTCTCAGAACCATTTAGGGACCTACTGAAATACGAGATCACCCTCTCACCTTGGTCGGAATTCTGTGTGAGAATAGCACCGAGCCCGTAATCGCTGGCGTCGGTCTGCAGCACAAATGTCTTTGTGAAATCTGGGCATGCTAAGATTGGGTCTGCTATTAGCCTGGCCTTGACAGCTTCAAACGCCTGTTGATGGTCATCTGTCCATTCCCATTTTGTGCTTTTCCGGAGCAGGCTATTCAACGGATGCACCAACGTTGCAAAATCTGGCACAAAACGCCTGTACCACGACGCCACTCCCAAATATTGTCGTAACTCCTTAACGTTGGCCGGTGGTTTTATTAAGGCAATTGCCGACACCTTTTCTGGGTCTGTTCCGATGCCTTGGTCTGTTATGCGATGCCCCAAGTATTGCAGTTCCTTTCTAAAAAATTTGCATTTTTCCGCATTTACTTTCAGGTTGGCGGCCCTTAGTCACCTAAACACTTCCTTCAGGTTTTCCATATGCTCTTCGAGCGTTCGTCCGATGACGATAATGTCGTCCTGATACGCGAAGGCATGCGGCATCATTTCTGGTCCAATGACTTGATCCAATGCCCGCTGGAATGTTGCCGACGCGGAGTGTAGGCCAAATGGCATAACCTTCCATTGGAACAGGCCCTTCCCTGGTACAGTAAACGCCGTATACTGCCTGCTGTCTGCCTCCAAGGGGATCTGCCAGTAACCGTCCTTTAGATCGAGACTGCTGATGTACTTCGCCTCTCGCAGCTGGTCCAGGATGTAATTTATCATCGGCATCGGGTATGCGTCCTTTATGGACCTTGCATTTATTTGCCGGAAATCCACGCACAGCCTCCACTTTCCAGTCTTCTTTCTCACCATGACTATTGGTGAGCTGTAGGGACTCCTGGACGGCTCGATACATCCCTTTTCCAGCAGCTCGTCTACCTTGGCATTTATCTCACCCTGCATTTTTGGATTTTTAGGGTAATACCGTTGTTTGACTGGTTGGTCGTCCTTCATGGTGATCCTATGTACGGCCACGTTGGATGTACCATTTATTCCTTCCAGTTCGTCCAACTCGGCTTTTAAAAATCCCTCCACATCCTTTTCCGCAAATCTCTTGGGTGTTTCAACTATTGCCACTGACAGTTTTTCCTCCAGCCATCCTCCTCGTCTATTCTTTGCCGGTATCGACGCGCTGTGTCCTGCGCACTCGACTTCGGCCCCGATTCTGGTGAGGAAATTCCATCCCAACACCAGGGCGTCGATCAGTCCTGGTAAAATCAGCAGCTCCATTGAAATTGTTTTCGTTCCCAGTCCAATTTTGGTCTCGAGCTGTGATCTTATTTCTCCGCAGCGACCGTCTGCCATCCGTACTTGCCTTCTCGTGGGTCCGACCCTTCCTGCTGCCTGCAGCCTGTCCGCCAGCTCTTCGCTGATGAAACTCGCCGTGGCGCCGGTATCCACCGTGGCCTTAATCTTACTTTCACCTATGAGCCCCGTGGCGGACAGTTGCATTTCTTCCGCCTGCAGGTCGCCCATTAATTTCGAGAGGCAGCACCTTGCGATCCCTGGCCGCCCCTCGGAGGCTGGGGTCGCTGGGCGTTTCCCGACCCGGAACAGCATTGAACCGTCCGAACTCCTATTTTTCCGCATCGCCAGCAGAACGTAAGACGTTGGTTTCGGCATTCCTTCGCCCAGTGGTCTGGACCCCCGCATCTGCGGCAGGCCTGGGTAGGATTGGCCACGTATCCGCCGCGATTGTTTGCCTGTTCGTGGCCGCGCGGCGTACTTCGTGGTTGTGCGTCCGGGTCCTCCTGGCACCGCCTGCACACCGCACCCTGGTCTTGTCTTGGCCTTGGCACTGGGTGGCTCTGCCCTTGCTGCTTGCGGGGATTGTTTTCCAGCTCGAATTTCTCCCGCTGCTGGTCGAGCTCCTCAAATTCGTCAGCAAGCGCCATCAATGTCTCCAAATTTCGACATTCGTATGGGCGAACGAACATTCTGAGTGCCGGCGTGCTGTTCTCTTTTATCCTCTCCAGCGTTTCCTTGGTCGACATATTCAGTGGGCGCATCAGGGTCTGCATATCCACCATAAAGTCTTTGAAGCTCTCCCCGTAGGCTTGCTTCCTCTGTCTGACCTGATCCGCCAGCTTCGCCATGTATCCTCGGGGCAGAAAGAAATTTTGGAAGCTGTAGATGAAGTCTCCCCAGGTTTCCCAGTGCCGATTGTTGGCGATGAACCACTTCAAGGCTCTGTCTTGGAGCAGCTCCGGCATTGCTCGTGGGATCTGATTTATGTCGAGACCGTAAGTCACGACTGACCACTCTACTTGCTCCAAGAATTCCAGCGGCTTGTCGTTTCCGTCGTAGCGGAAATTCCACTCCCGGACCTGCTTGGCCACCTTCGCGTAGTCCTGCGTGTGCGTCCTGGAATTCTCCTTTCTTTCCCGGCTATTTTCCCGCTGCCGACTTGCGTGGCTTGCGATGCTCGACACATCCAAGCTTGCTATGAGGCCCTCGGCACTTGCGGTTGTGATTTTAAATTTTGGCGTGGGCATTTTCCGGAATTTCTTTTCCAGGCCCGTTACCAAATCGGCGATGTCTGGCTCCTCTGCCGTCTGGTCGACGAAGTCTCCCAGCGTCTTCCTCATCGAATCGACTGAGCCCTCCAGTTCAATTCCTAGAACTTGGCTCACCTCGTCGAAGTCTTCCTTCCTGAGATTATAAATCCAGGACTTCCCCATCTCGGAACTTTTGTTTCCTTGGTCAGGACAATCACTCTTGGGCGCCAGATGTAACGACCTGATTCTTTATTTCTGCTCGCTACGTAAACGTGCGGCTAGCTCAGAGAGGTTGTGAGTTTGTTCCACCAAATTTATATTGAGTGACCGCCCGTGACCAAAGGATAACGCCAGAAATGATTAGGATGGTGCTGGTTTATTGACTCTCTAAAATATAGCCTTATTGCTATTATTCTGCTGCCCGTTGTCGCTGTCTCCTGCAGCGTTGCTCCTGGCTCGCTGCTGCGTCGCTCTTGGCTTACCGCTGTATTGCTTCGGCTTGCTGCTCCGGGTGACTGAGATCGGTACGACTCCACCAAAACCCTGGATGTTATGCGAGCTTCCCTACCGGGGCCGGCAAGGTGTATCGCCTAGCAGGTGAACCGAAGTTACGC